TCAAATAAGGGAAAGAGAAGTAACACTCACAATGCATCTAAATTATTTAATTTATATGGACCCCAATTTCAATCATATTTTTGGCCAGGATATGGAACTGATACTCCTTTGCTCATCTTGGTTGATGGCCCATGCCAAATAATCAAGATCACCTGGACTGTGTTTTAGAATACAGATTCTATTTGAAGATTTGAACTCTAACTAAATTGAAGTTGAACTCAGAATATTAATTCTGGCTTGGCACAGATTCTCTTCTTTTGTACTTTTTAAAAAATAAATTATTGGTGGTCTACATCAGGGGTTCCCAATCCCCGGTTTGTGGACCAGCACTGGTCCACAGCATGCCAGCAACTGGGCCATGTAAACAAGCAAAGCCCCATCCATGGGATGCAGGCAGCACACATGCAAAAACCTTTCTCCATGGAACCGGTCCTTGTGCCTCAAAGGTGGGGGCACTGGTCTACATGCATATTCTAACTATGAGCTTATTTAATTACCAGAAAAATGAAAACTGTAAGCAAATATTTAGCTGATTCATTCAAATCAACACATTGCCCTTTCCCACAAATGTTTTTGGTCTTTTTTAATTTAATGTTATCCCTTCCTCCCACCCATCTCCACTCCCCATCCCTTTTCAAGCTCATTTTCAATTTGTAGATTAATTTGAATTCTAACAAAATGGAGAAGCTGTGGGCAAATCATATGAATTTGCTTGTTGTAGCTGTGGTTGCACTCTTTCAAAATTAAAGGAAGCAACAGTCAGATTTTTGAGTGAAGCATTTATGTTGCATCCATTTGGTTCCTGACTTAAGTTTCGTTTCTCCTGAAAAGCTTACCTGCCTGCCTTAGGTTTCGTTTCCTGATTTAAGTTTCATTTCTCCTGTTAAGCTTACCTTGAATTAGTACCTCCTTGACTTAAGTTTCCTGTTCTTTGTGTATGGCAATGGAGAGCCATCCCCCTATTGTCCTTTTGTACACNTAGTGTATCTAAAAGACTAGGATTTTGTTCAAGGTAAGTTAATACTATTAATGTTACCATGCACTGTGTGGCTTTAAATTACAAGAAGGCATTTTATTAATCTTTTGGGACATTTACCACTGGCATACCCATTTAGTTTAATGAGTGGAAATGTCAGCTTTCTATGTGGAATGAAATTGGCCCAATAAAACAAAATTTGATTGCTTGTAAAAGATTGAATTATGTTTAAGAAGTTGTCAAACAAGGTGGAAAAATTTACATTTGGAGTTTAATATAGATATTGAGTTGAAACAAATTAAAGTTGAAACTTTTGTCAGTGAACAGATTACTTTTAATTTACCTTTAAGTTAAACCCAATTTAATAAATAGATCTGATTAAACCTCATACTGTAGGTCTACTTTTACATCTGGCCAATACATAATTAATATATACTATTATTAATAATAATACCTCCAAATCACAAGACATTGGCTTTATTCTTATTCTTCCCCTCTGCAGTTTGAATATAAAGTATAAAAGACTAAAAAGAGATTTTCGTAGACATCCCAGCCTTTGAACTACCCAAGGAACTGAAATAGCAAAGTTTCGCTGTCAGGCAAGCTTCCACGCCAGCCGCCTTTCTTTCTTCTCGCTGCGCCTCTTTTTAACCTTGCACCCGACCTTCTGTAAGGGAAGGCAAAAGGCTCACTCACTCTCTCGTGAAAGATGGACTCCATGTTTATGTGTCTCCCACCGCCACCATCAGCTTCCACACCACATGGTCCGCTCTGGCTGTGGTGCTCCGGTGCCTCATGGCTCCTCCTAGAGGAGGCGGACAGTGCCAGAGGGGACCCCGCTCACACTGTACTGCCAATGGGACATTTTCAAAAGCAAACGAGGATAGGAAGGGCAACAATAGGAAAAGAACGCAACTCTGGAAAATCCGTCGAAAAAAGGTGCCGGAACTCTGTTCCGGTGCGTTCTGTGAAAAAAAAAACCCTGATTATACTAACTGCAGTGATTAACAACTGTGGCAAGAAAGGTCGTAAAATGGGGCAAAACTTACTTAACAACAGTGTTGCTTAGCAACAAAAATTTTGGGCTCAGTTGTGGTCATTAAATCAGCCAATTCTCAAGTGAATGCCACCAAGACCCAGGGAACTGTTATATAACAGATACCTGAGCTTGTAATGATGTCCTACAATATCTTCTATTGTTTCCTTAGTGTTTTACTCATTCCAATTCCCTTCCTAAGTCATTAGGCTCAAGTGTCTGTCCTATACCTTCTGCAGCAGTGACCGATGCAAATAATTATTTCAGTTAATATGCAGTTTCCATATCTTCCTTGAACAACCATTTCATTTTTTTGTGGAATCATTGCCCAACTGCTTTCCTTGATGAGAACCACAGCATCATGTGGTATCAAGTCAGAAGAGAGGTAGGAGGCCGGATAGAGATCAACAAATTACATGCTTGTATATTATTGTGCTATCTAAAAAAAGGTGAAGAGCACTTCAGCTAAGGCAGGGATGTCAAACTGCCGGCCTGCGGGCCAGTTGCATCATGTGGAGGTCACACCTATCCCAGCTCCGGCAATGCGAAAAAAAAAGTCCCGATATGTCATCGTGACATGTCATGTGACATGGCAAGTTTGACACCCGTGAGCTAAGGTGTTGGGAAGGCAATATAAGGTGCTATCCGTTACTGCTAAGGAAATGGCCTCTGCCATGCTGTCTGTATCTTTGAAAATTGTTAAAACATTTTAATGGAAATATAACTTTAAAGAATATGGTCATAATATGACCATTGTTTGGTCTAACCATGATCCATGTCTATCAATGACTGGAAGAATTAATTCCATTTGTTTAGTTTGTCTTACATCGAGTATGCACTTATCTAATTTCTGCGTATGTCACCCTCTTTAAATTATATTACAGTAAATGTATGTTTAAGTCAGTTTTGACTCCTGGCAACTGACCAGACCAGTCCAGTTTTCTTGGCAGGATTTTCAGAAGCGGTTTGCCATGACCTTCTTCCTTCCTAGGGCTGAGAGAGTGACTAGATCAGGGGTAGGCAACCTTGGCTCTTTTATGACTCATGGACTTCAACTCCCAGAATTCCTGAGCAAGCACAGCTCAGGAATTCCACAGTCAGCACAGCTGGCTCAGGAATTCTGGGAGTTGAAGTCCATGAGTCATAAAAGAGCCAAGGTTGCCTACCCCTGGACTAGATCAAAGCTGCCCGAATTAGGACTGGACCTCAGTTCCCCAGTTTCTAACTTAAGTGTCTTAAACTACTAATCAAATTAGCCCTCAGTCCACGGGAAAGCAACACAGAACCCTTGTGGCATTTCACAACCTTAAGGCATGAGCTTTATTGGACGGTAGTCTCCTCCATCAGCCTCTTGTAGCACAACCTCCCCCCCAAAAATTTTTTGTGTCGCCTTAAAAACTATAGGAAGGGAAGGCGGCTCCCGTCTGCTATCAAAGAACAAGCACCCCGAAATACTGAGGTGGGCCTTCGCGGTCCGTGTTTAAAACCCCGAAGTATGCCCGAGGAAGTGCAATTTCGCGGGACGGAGATAGGAAGGCGCTTTTTCTCTGCACGCGCGACTCTTAGAAGCTAAGGCGCTGTTAAATTTCATTCCCGCAAGCGAAGGAAAGAGGGGGGGGGGAAGTTGTCGTATGAATTGGTCGGTGGGCTGCATGACGGATCCACTTTTGCCCCGCAGGCTTTTAAGTTATGTCACGAGTTTTCGAGGAATCCCCCCCCCCAATGCGGGGAGCGCGAGGCGAGCACACAGCGGGTCTTTGGGGGAAATCTCAGCCCCGTTTCCCCCCCCCCCTCTTTCTCTCTCCCCCTCCCCTTTAAGGCCGGTGCCGAGCGCGCGCGCGCTGCCAGGTTGCTGTGGCGACGTAGCAAAGCCCCTGTTCTCTCTTACGCGCGTTCTCCCTCCCCCTGCCGCTCGCGCTCTTCCTTGCTCCGGCTCCCTCCCCTCGCCCAGTCAGCCGCAAACATGGCAGCGGCTGCTCGCAGGCTCTACGCTGCGGTGGCGGCTCTGACGACGACGCGGAACGGTCCCAGGTGAGGGGGCGGGAAGGGTCGGGGTGGGTGGACGGGGGGGGGCAGTCTGACACCCCTACCAGGCCGCGGCGGCAGCAGTAGCGACTCCCCCCTTCCCGCGAGGAGCGTCTCTGGAGGGGGGGTGGCGGTGGTGGTAGAGCGAC